ATCTGTATGCTTGTCCACAATGCCCTGCCTCATGCACAAAGAAAGAATTGTTTATAGCTACAGACAATGTGGTTGCTGTTGCCTGTTTTGGGTCTCAAATTATGTATCTGTTTGTGCTCCCTCTATTTATATCAGCTTTATATTTATGTATTTATGCAATGCTTATGACACGAAATAAATGAAAAAGTGATCAATGGCTCCCTTTCCTTTATGTGATGTTTTGGATACAATTCTTCCATTTCTGCTGTGCAAGAGGAGTGGTAAAAACAGATCGGGTGGATATCCCTACAAAAGGACGTCCCTACCTTGGGATCGACTAACGCTCCCGCCTTGATGAGGTATTTCACAGTTTCCAGATGGTTGTTCTCTGCCGCCTCCATCAGCGGGGTCCTCTGATCCTGAGAGCATGTGTCGATGTTAGCACCAGCCTGTGCCGAGATGCAGAGAAACACACAGAAACAAGAGCAACCGTTACTCCTTGCATAGTCATGGAATCATACGTTTGGAAGAGACCTGGTGGTGCTTAGAGTGGTCCAGCATTGCTATGTTCTCCAAATAATAATATGCTGTGTCCAGGTTGGTTCATCAGGTGCTTCAACCAGAGAAGTCAGCCATAGCAGAGCACCAACCTGGACACAGCATATTATTTGGGAATACAGAAATGCTGGACCACTCTCACAACCATCATGTCAGGCTACACAGAGAAGCCATTGAAATCCACAAGAAGCATGGGGACAATCTCAACAGAAAGAAGGAAACCATAAAAATGAACACCATCTGGCTATTGGTATTTTAAAAAACCCCAAAATCAGTACAGTAAACAAAGAACAACACTCAAAACAACAAGGGAATTCCAAACAAGAATCAATCAGGGCCAGCTAACACCTCCGAACAAAGGATTCCCCCAGACAGGAAGCAGCCAGGCTTTGAAGCTGCAAGGCCATTCAATGCTAATCAAGGTGGCCAGTTGCAACATTCACACTTGCCTCCAACAGACAAGAGTTTTTTCTCCCACCCTGAACATCATTCCACAGGTATATAAACCCTGCTGGCATAGTTTCCAACAGATCTCACAACCTCGGAGGATGCCCTGCCGTAGATGTGGGCAAAACATCAGGAGAGAATGCTTCCGGAACATGGCCAGACCATCCAGAAAAATCACAGCAACCCCATTACCAAACTCCCATTTATTTTACTAACATAAAACCAACGTGGGACAGACCTGAATGAGCATATGGCACACATCCACATGTCCAGACTCTGCAGCAGCATGGAGAGGAGTTCTCTTATTCTGGTGCTCCATCTTGAAGTTGGGATCGATCCCATCCACTGAGAAAGAGAAAGACAGAAATCCAAAAGGGAAACTTTATAGTTGACTGCCTGATCCTAGCAGATGAGAGTACATGGCTCAATATATGGGACAGATGCCACTATTTATTTATTTAGTATCAAAAGCATTGCATAAATTAGTATAAAACCGATAAAAATAGAAGGAGCGCAGGCGGCTAAATATTTTCTGACCAAAAACGGGCAACAGCAATGGCGTTGTCTGTAGCCTCCAACAATTCTTCCTCTGTACATGAGGCAGGGCAGAGTGGACAAGCACTATGTAACACTATATAATAAAATTTGTAAGACCGAACAGGGTACGGGGTTACAGCCTGTGCTGGACGGGGTCACACTCCCCCTAAAAGCACAGGTACGCAGTCTGGGAGTTCTCCTGGATTCATCGCTGAGCCTGGAACCCCAGGTTTCAGCGGTGGTCAGGGGAGCATTCGCACAATTAAAACTTGTGCGCCAGCTGCGTCCGTACCTTGGGAAGGCTGACTTGGCCACGGTAGTACACGCTTTGGTTACATCCCGCTTAGATTACTGCAACGCTCTCTACGTGGGGTTGCCTCTGAAGACTGCCCGGAAGCTGCAGCAAGTACAACGCGCGGCAGCCAGATTACTAACGGGTGCTGGGTACAGGGAGCACACCACTCCGCTGTTACACCAGCTCCACTGGCTGCCAATTAGCTTCCGAGCACAATTCAAAGTGCTGGTGTTAACCTATAAAACCCTAAACGACTCCGGCCCTGTTTACCTCTCCTGCTGGTGTTAACCTATAAAGCCCTAAACGACTCCGCCCCTGTTTACCTCTCCGAACGTATTCTCCCCTACGAACCATCAAGACCACTAAGATCGTCTGGAGGGGCCCTGCTCTCGGTCCCACCGCCTGCACAAGCACGGCTGGTGGGGACGAGGGACAGGGCCTTCTCGATGGTGGCCCCTCGACTTTGGAACTCCCTGCCATTAGAGATCAGAACTGCCCCCTCCCTCATGACGTTCAGGAAACTAACAAAGACCTGGTTGTGGAACGCGGCATTTGACAACTGATTTAATTCTTTGCCCACATGAAAGGAGGATGATGAATGGGATTGTGATGGTGTCGGACGATTTGGCTCTTTTAACTGGGATGATAATGTTTTAATGTGTATGGTGCTGATATTTTAATCGTGTATGAAGTGGCATTGTGTTGTTATTGTATATTTTTTGTATGTTAACACATGTTGTGAACCGGTCCGAATCCCTCTTTGAAGGTGAGAGGGTCGGTATATAAAACCTCGAAATAAATAAATAAATAAATAAATTAATAAATAAAAATGTTCTGTTCCTGGTCCGAAAGTGTTATTTCCTGCTTAATTGTGCAATCCTTACTTTGAAAGGAGTTGTTATCCTCCAGTTTCCATGCCATGCCTGGAAACTACTTTGCAGCCAGCGGAGTGATTGTAAATTGTGCAATCCTTACTTTGAAAGGAGTTGTTATCCTCCAGTTTCCATGCCATGCCTGGAAACTACTTTGCAGCCAGCGGAGTGATTGTAATGTTGTTATAATACGATCACTCCTAGATGTACCACTAACCAGTCTGGCGGCCATGTTTTGAACTAACTGAAGTTTCTAATGGTAGCCTCAAGTCCCTAGGCCCTGTTGTTTTTCATTATGTTTCAGGCTGATCAGTGTTCCATCAAACAGAGGGGAGTTTCGGACCAAATGTTCCTTTCCCAACCATATTCACTACAGAGTCAATCAGGGTCATGTTCAAACAAAACTCCTTCCTCTCTTTGACGGAGAGATATCTGTTGGGAAGGGGAAGAGGAGGAGGGAAATGACTCACCCAGCATAAGGAGCACCTTCTGCAACTCCCCTTGTCTGGCAGAGAAATACAGCTGTTTGGAGTGAAACCGCAATTTCTTGGGCCTGGCGGAGGAGAAAAGAGCAATAATAATAATAATAATAATAATAATAATTGTGCGGTTTTCTGGCATTGTATATTTCTGCCGCTTCTGTGATTGTTCATTTGTATTTTGATTCTGTAGCCCACTTGTCGATGGATGTCCAGAATCAGCAGCATCCTCCACGGTCCTTTTTATCCTGGGCAACGACCGAACCAGTATAGACTTCGTTTTGGTTTGCTTCTCCATAATGCTAATGGGTAGGTGCTCTTGGTTCCACTCCTCAGCTGAGACCTCTCTGGCTTGGTTAAACCTGATGGTAGTTACACTACTACCAGCACAGCTCTCAGCATCCTTGGAGCAGCTAAGCCCCCCACCACGACAAGGTGCCAACATCAGAAGAGGAATTTTCCAGGGAGACTCATTGTCCCCACTGCTTTTCATCATTGCCATGATCCCTCTGTCAACAATCTTACAAAAAACAAACCTCGGCTATCAAACGTCTCAGAGATCTCACATGCTGTACATGGATGACCTGAAGCTGTATGGGAAAACCGAAACTGAAATCCAGTCTCTGACTAACATTGTCTGAATCTTTAGTACGGATATCAACATGTAATTTGGTTTGGACAAATGCTCGACAGCGGCACTGAAGAAGGGAAAAATCATTGTGAGGGCATAAATATGCCCAATGGGCAAACAATCAAGTGTGACCAGCCAGAGGCCTATAAATATCTGGGCATACCACAGCTGGACAACATCAAACATGAACATGTGAAAACTGTATCACAAAATCACAAGTCGAACACTTCCCAAGCGTCTAGGACTATGTGATGTATTTCCATTTATTATTATTATTATACTGACACAAAAACACAGTATGTCACAGCAAACAAGATCTATATGCTGGATTTCGTATCACAAAATCACAAGTCGAACACTTCCCAAGTGTTTAGGATTGTGTGATGTATTATTATTATTATTATTATTATTATTATTATTATTATTATACTGACACAAAAACACAGTATGTCACAGCAAACAAGATCTATATGCTGGATTTCGTATCACAAAATCACAAGTCGAACACTTCCCAAGTGTTTAGGATTGTGTGATGTATTATTATTATTATTATTATTATTATTATACTGACACAAAAACACAGTATGTCACAGCAAACAAGATCTATATGCTGGATTTCGTATCACAAAATCACAAGTCGAACACTTCCCAAGTGTTTAGGACTGTGTGATTTATTATTATTATTATTATTATTATTATTATTATTATTACAAAACACAGTATGTCACAGCAAACGAGATCTATATGCTGGATTTTGTATCACAAAATCACAAGTCGAACACTTCCCAAGTGTTTAGGATTGTGTGATGTATTATTATTATTATTATTATTATTATTATTATTTTACTGACACAAAAACACAGTATGTCACAGCAAACGAGATCTATATGCTGGATTTCGTATCACAAGATCACAAGTCGAACAGTTATTATCATTATTATTATTATTATTATTATTATTATTAGCACAACAAGATGAGTCCACAGCAGACACTCTTCTGGCTGTTGTATTGGATCACACGTCAGACACTTCCCAAGTGTCTAGGACTGTGTGATGTATCGGCAAATAATGTGTGCAGATCCCAGTAAGGTGGCCTTTTGCAGCTGGCAGATGGTAACTTTGTCAGTGCCGATTGTGTTTAAGTGGAGGCCAAGGTCTTTAGGCACTGCACCCAGTGTGTCGATCACGACTCGGCCCACCTTGACTGGCTTGTGACAGAGTCTTTGCAGTTTGATCTTTAAATAATAATAATAATAATAATAATAATAATAATAATAATAATAATAACAATTATTATTATTATAATTATTATTATGCCATAAACTTTTCTTTATTCTAGTTTTTTGCTTCCTGCCTGGGGGAATCCTTAGTTGGGAGGTGTTAGCTGGCCCTGATTGTTTCCTGTCCGGAACACCTCCCAACAAAGGATTCCCCCCAGGCAGAAAGCAGCCAGGCTTTGAAGCTGCAAGGCCATTCAATGCTACTCAAGGTGGCCAATTGCAACATTCACACTTGCCTCCAACAGACAAGAGTTCTTTCTCCCAACTACTCCCTTAAGCTTGGATGCTTACTTTTCCGAATCCAGGGCAATCAAGGCGCTTTCCAAGGTTTCTTTGACCGGCCCTTGGGGCAGACCAGGCGGGGCAGGTTTGGGAAAGGAAGACGTCCCAGCCAAGTCAAACCCCTCCGAAGAGGAATTCTCCAGCCTGACTTCTTCGGATGTTTGCGTGACCATCCCACTGTGGCAAGAATAATCCAAACAAATAGAGATAGAGGGATAAATAAGACACACACCAATATAGACGTCCTATCTCGACTCAAGCAAAGACACGCAACGTTTGCTATGGAGGCAAAACTAGTTCTCAGAAGTGTCATAGATGATCTTCTGATGTTTCCAAGAAACTGTTATTAACTCCCAGACCAAAACGGTTTCAAACAATAACCAGAGTTGAAACTTCAAGCTGAGGCATCATTTCCCTGAATCTTTCCCTGAAGCTTCTGCTGCCCAATGCAACTGTTGGAAATAGCAACCTTCTTCAAGCCTCCAAAAGTTATTTGTTATGTATATCATTCAGATTGCTTATTGTAGAGGTGTATTGGTATACGATTTTACCTTAACTCTATGTTGTGGGAGGGGCTGCAAAGCGTGTGATCAGAACTGGGCTCGTTCAGGACTCAGACTCCATTTTAGAAATAGTTTGCTTTAGACTAGAGTAGGAACAGTACGCTTAGAGACTCCACTGGACTTTCATACTAGAGACTCTATTAGACTCTCAGAACAGAGAGATGCTTTAGATTATGGACTGTTGATTATATGAAAGATGCCCCGTGTTACCTATACAGAGAAAAACCATATATACTCGAGTATAAGCCAAGTTTTTCAGCCCTTGTTCAGGCTGAACTGCCCCCCCCCCCCCGGGCTTATACTTGAGTTAAGGTTATTTATTATTTTGCTCTGTTATTTTTATTAGTTATTATTTTATTCTATTTATAATTATAATTATAATTATTATTATTATTATTACATTTACACTACTTTACTCTATTATTTTATTACATTTATTATTTTACTCGATGTATTATTATTACATTTACATTACTTTACTCTATTATTTTTATTACAGTTATTATTTTACTCTATGATTACTGTTATTATTACATTACATTATTTTACTCTATTATTATTATTATAGTTATTGTTTTAGTCGATGTATTATTATTATTACATTTATATTACTTTACTCTATTATTTTTATTACAGTTATTGTTTTAGTCGATGTATTATTATTATTATTATCACATTTACATTACTTTACTCTATTATTTTTATTACAGTTATTATTTTACTCTATGATTACTGTTATTATTACATTATTTTACTCTATTATTATTACAGTTATTGTTTTAGTCGATGCATTATTATTATTATTATATTTACATTACTTTACTCTATTATTTTATTACATTTATTATTTTATTCTATTTATAATGATAATAGTTATTATTATTACATTTACATTACTTTACTCTATTATTTTATTAGATTTATTATTTTACTTGATGTATTATTATTACTACATTTATTATTTTACTCTAATTATTATTACAGTTACTGTTTTAGTCAAAGTATTATTACATTTACATTACTTAATTATTTTTATTAATTTATTATTTTACTCTATGATTACTATTATTACACTACATTATTTCACTCTATGTATTATTATTACAGTTATTATTTTAGTCAATGTATTATTATTATTACATTTACATTACTTTATTATTTTTATCACATTTATTATTTTAGTCTATGATTACTGTTATTATTACATTACATTATTTTACTCTATTATTATTATTATTATTATTATTATTATTATTATTATTGTACTCTACTTATTATTGGAGGACAAGTAAGCATATTTACATTGAAGAAGGTTAGAATAATGGTTTAATCAGAGTTGGACCGTCTTATCTTGAATTACAGTTTTATGTAAATATTCGAAAACATTTAACCTACTGATGCCTAAATTAATATAATTTTATTGGTATCTATTTTTATTTTGAAATTTACCCATAGCTGCTGCATTTCCCACCCTCGGCTTATATTCGAGTCAATCCATTTTCCCAGGTTTTTTGTGGGAGGATTTGCCTCATGGGTGAGGGGAGCAGGGCTTCCGTAGTTGCGCAGTGTCACCAACCCTCGAAACTTGCCTTCCCGTTGTTGTGTCCGCCCTTCCCTCTGAAACGCTGGGTTTCTTCTGCTCGCAGCTCTGCGGGAGCGTGGACGTGGTGTCCGCTTTTGCGACCGTCACTTCTTTGGCCTTGGAGGCCTCCTCTCCGCAGTGTGGGCAGTAGCTCATGCCTTTGACCTGGGAGGCACAGTCCCGGTGGAACCGGTGGCGAGATGCTGCTCTCCGGCTGGCACTCCATGAAGGTGCCCTGCAGAAGATGAGGATTTCGTGGGAATGCTGTTCCCATCACTCCTCCCCGTTGGCTACTTTTGTTTGTTTATTTACTTATTTACTACTTGTACCCACCACGCGTTGCTGTGGCCAACCTTCTCTCCCCCTTTCTCTCCTTCTTTCCTCCTTCCTTCACTCCCTCTTTCCTTCCTTCCTTCCTTCTTCCTTCTTCCTTCCTTCCTTCCTTCTTCCTTCTTTCCTTCCTTTTCTCTTTCCTTCCTCTCCTTCCTTTTCTCTTCCTTCTCCCCCTTTTTCTTTCCTTCCCTTTCTCTCCTTTCTTCCTTCTCTACCTCTTTCCTTCCTTCCTTCACTTTTTGCTTCCATCCTTCCTTCTCTCTTTCCTTCTTTCCTCCTTCCCTCTCCTTTCTCTCCTTTCTTTCCTTCTCTACCTCTTTCCTTCCTTCTTCGCTTTTTGCTTCCATCCTTCCTTCTCTTTCTCTTCCCTCCTTTCTCTCCTTTCTTCCTTCTCTACCTCTTTCCTTCCTTCGCTTTTTGCTTCATCCTTTCTTTCCTCTTCTTTTCTTCTTCCCTCCCTTCTTCCTTCTCTACCTCTTTCCTTCCTTTCCTTTTTGCTTTCCCTTCCTTTCTTCACCCCTCTTCCTTCTTTTCCTTTTTTCTTTCCTTCTCTACCTCTTTCTTTCTTTCCTTCCTTTTGCTTCCATCCTTCCTTCTCTTTCCTTCCTCCCGCTTTCTCTCCTTTCCCTCTTCCTTCACTCCCTCTTTCCTTCCTTTCCTTTTTTCTTTCCTTCCTTCTCTACCTCTTTCTTTCCTTCCCCCTTTTTCTTTTCCTTCCTCTTTCTCTCCTTTATTCCTTCTCTACTTCTTTCTTTCCTTCCTTCCTTCGCTTTTTGCTTCCATCCTTCCATCTTTCTTTCCTTCTTTCCTTCCCTCCCACTTTCTCTCCTTTCCCTCCTTCCTTTGCTCCCTCTTTCCTTCCTTTCCTTTTTTCTTTCCTTCTCTCTTTCCTCCCTTCTCTACCTCATTCTTTCCTTCCCCCTTTTTCTTTTCCTTCCTTTTTCTCTCTGTTTTTCCTTCTCTACCTCTTTCTTTCCTTCCTTCGCTTTTAGCTTTCATCCTTCCCTCTTTCCTTCTTTCATTCCTTCCCTCTTTCTCTCCTTTCCTCCTTCTCTACCTCTTTCCTGCCTTTGCTTTTTGCTTCTATCCTTCCTTTTCTCTTTCCTTCTTTCCTTCCCTCCCACAAACACAGACATGCAGCCTGAAAGGCTTACCGCTGCACAAAAGAAGCCGCAACCGGGGCAGCACTGATGCTTCACCATTCTCCCTCTGTGGTCCTCGCACAGAACCAGGAGCTGGACTTTGTTCGAGGGGCGCATCAGCTCATACTTCAGCACGCGGTTGGTGCACCGACTCAGCTGGAGAAGGAAAGAAGGAAAAAGAAAACACCGCTCTTGGATCAAGAAGAATATGAGAGAGGGAGTCTTCTGAACACATACACACCAAGAGCAATTTCATGAACGGCCCTGGAGAAACCGTGGCCTTTTTTGCAGCCAAACACACAGCCTTAGCGATGCTTCACAGCACTGTAGAAATGCTGTGGTTTCAAAGCAAAAGGCATACTTCCAAAATGGCAGAGATAGGTTCGGCAAGTGTCACATCTACCTATATTTCTGAAGCAGTACAGTGCACTCTGGAAGTAGGTGAACTACAACTCCAAAATTCAATGCAAATCCCAGCAACTACAACTCCCAAAGGACGAAATATTTTTTTTTTGAGTGAAGGACATACACTGGGTTAGGTGTCTTGTGTCCAAATTTGGTGTCAATTCGTCCAGTGGTTTTTGAGTTCTGTTAATCGCACAAACGAACATCACATTTTTATTTATATAGATATACTAGCTGTTCCCTGCCACGCGTTGCTGTGGCCCTGTCTAGTTATCTGGAAAATAAAGTAATGAGAAAGTAAAGGTAAAGGTAAAGGTAGTCCCCTGACATTAAGTCCAGTCATGTCTGACTCTGGGGTGTGGTGCTCATCTCCATTTCTAAGCCGAAGAGCCAGCGTTGTCCGTAGACACCTCCAAGGTCATGTGACTGGCATGACTGCATGGAGCACCATTACCTTCCCGCCGGAGCGGGAGAAAGTGTTGGTTTCTAATATATGTAATTTATTTATGCTTGTGGGTAAACAGTATTTCTTCTTATTTCTTTGTCATTGTTGATGTGGTTTGCCTACTCTGGAACATGCAACATATCATTGTCCTTCTTTAGGGGTCCCTTTCAAATCTATGATACTATATCTCGTGTGTGTGAATCATATATCTATCTATATCTATGGCTGGATGGCTCTTTGTCAGGAGGGCTTTGATTATGTTTTCTTGCCCTGGTGAAGGGAGTTGGACTGGATGGTCTTAAGTATTTTCTGTTGGTCATTGGAGTTCTCTGTTGGAAGTTTGGCCCAATCCTCTCGCTGGTGTGGTTCACAATGCTCTTTGCTTGTAGGTGAACTATAAATCCCAGCAACTACAACTCCCCAATGTCAAGGTCTATTTCCCCCAAATTCATATTTGGACATATTGACTATTCGTGCCAAGTTTGGTCCAGATCCATCATTGTTTGAGTCCACAGTGCTCTCTGGATGTAGGTGAACTACAACTCCAAAACTCAAGGTCAATGCCCACCAAACCCTTCTAGTGTTTCTGTTGGTCATGGGAGTCCTGTGTGCCAAGTTTGGTTCAATTCCATCATTGATGGAGTTCAGAATGCTCTTTGATTGTAGGTGAACTATAAATCCCAGCAACTACAACTCCCACATATCAAGTCTATTTTCCCCAAATTTCACCAGTGTTGACATGTGGGCATAGTTTGGTCCAGATCCGTCATTGTTTGGCCAGATCTATCATTGTTTGTGTCCTCAGTGCTCTCTGGATGTAGGTGAACTACAACTCCAAAATTCAAGGTAAATCCCAACAACTACAACTCCCAAATGACAAAATCAATTTTTTTTGAGTGAAAGACATACATTAGGTTGTTAGGTGTCTTGTGTCCAAATTTGGTGTCAATTCGTCCAGTGGTTTTTGAGTTCTGTTAATCCCACAAACGAACATTACATTTTTATTTATATATATATATATATAGAGAGAGAGAGAGAGAGAGAGAGAGAGAGAGAGAGAGGGATTATGGCTTGAGGCCATGGGTCAGTCTCTGCTCTTTCCTTTCATCTTGGTGCCTCCTCTGTTGCCATCCCTCCATTAGATGCTGTTTTCCGCCAGATGCTTTCCCCGACACCCCCATCGTTTTTCAATTAGCTGCTGCTGGACCCGCCAAGCTCTAATGAGTGCCTGTGGTCAGCAGATAACCGGCGGATGCTTTTACTGCCGGGGGGATGATGAAAGAAGGTCAAAAAAGAAGATCAGGCAGGGTGCGCCACTCCATTCCTCACCCAAGTGATGGATACCCAGACCCTTGTGGGTTTTGCTCCTTAGGCCAGTGTTTCTCAACCTTCCTAATGCCGTGACCCCTTAATACAGTTCCTCATGTTGTGGTGACCCCCAACCATAACATTATTTTCATTGTTGCTCCATAACTGTAATTTTGCTACTGTTATGCATCGTTGTGTAAATATCCGATATGCAGGATGTATTTTCATTCACTGGACCAAATTTGGCACAAATACCCGATACACCCCAATTTGCATACTGGTGATGTTGGAGTGGATTGATTTTGTCATTTGGGAGTTGTAGTTGCTGGGATTTACAATCAAAGAGCATTCTGAACTCCACCAATGATGGAATTGAACTAAATTTGGCACATAGAACTCCCATGACCAAAATAAAATACTGGAAGGGTTTGGTGGGCATTGGCTTTGAGTTTTGGAGTTGTAGTTCACCTATCTCCAGAGAGCACTGTGGACTCGATCAATGATGGGTCTAGACCAAACTTGGCACGAACACTTGGCACACAGTATTTTCTGTTGCACGCGACCAACAGAAAATACTGGAAGGGTTTGGTGGGCATTGACTTTGAGTTTTGGAGTTGTAGTTCACCTATCTCCAGAGGGCACTGTGGACTCGATCAATGATGGGTCTGGACCAAACTTGGCACGAACACTTGGCACACAGTATTTTCTGTTGCACGCGACCAACAGAAAATACTGGAAGGGTTTGGTGGGCATTGACTTTGAGTTTTGGAGTTGTAGTTCACCTATCTCCAGAGGGCACTGTGGACTCGATCAATGATGGGTCTGGACCAAACTTGGCACGAACACTTGGCACACAGTATTTTCTGTTGCACATGACCAACAGAAAATACTGGAAGGGTTTGGTGGGCATTGACCTTGAGTTTTGGAGTTGTAGTTCACCTATCTCCAGAGGGCACTGTGGACTCGATCAATGATGGGTCTGGACCAAACTTGGCACGAACACTTGGCACACAGTATTTTCTGTTGCACGCGACCAACAGAAAATACTGGAAGGGTTTGGTGGGCATTGACTTTGAGTTTTGGAGTTGTAGTTCACCTATCTCCAGAGGGCACTGTGGACTCGATCAATGATGGGTCTGGACCAAACTTGGCACGAACACTTGGCACACAGTATTTTCTGTTGCACATGACCAACAGAAAATACTGGAAGGGTTTGGTGGGCATTGACTTTGAGTTTTGGAGTTGTAGTTCACCTATCTCCAGAGGGCACTGTGGACTCGATCAATGATGGGTCTGGACCAAACTTGGCACGAACACTTGGCACACAGTATTTTCTGTTGCACGCGACCAACAGAAAATACTGGAAGGGTTTGGTGGGATTACGAAATAACCAAGCAGAACAATACGTGGGAGATATGGGTGTGGGTGTGCAATTGACCACCTTGGAGTTATTGTATTGAGTTTGGGAGTTGTAGTTCACCTATCTCCAGAGAGCACTGTAGACTCGATCAATGATGGGTCTGGACCAAACTTGGCACTAACACTTGGCACACAGTATTTTCTGTTGCACATGACCAACAGAAAATACTGGAAGGGTTTGGTGGGCATTGACCTTGAGTTTGGGAGTTGTAGTTCACCTATCTCCAGAGAGCACTGTAGACTCGATCAATGATGGGTCTGGACCAAACTTGGCACGAACACTTGGCACACAGTATTTTCTGTTGCACATGACCAACAGAAAATACTGGAAGGGTTTGGTGGGCATTGACTTTGAGTTTTGGAGTTGTAGTTCACCTATCTCCAGAGGGCACTGTGGACTCGATCAATGATGGGTCTGGACCAAACTTGGCACGAACACTTGGCACACAGTATTTTCTGTTGCACATGACCAACAGAAAATACTGGAAGGGTTTGGTGGGCATTGACCTTGAGTTTGGGAAGCAGCCAGGCTTTGGAGCTGCAAAGTACTAAATGCTAATCAAAGTGGCCACAGCAACATTCATACTTCCTTCCAACAGACAATAATAATAATAATAATAATAATAATAATAATAATAATAATGTGGCCAAATGCACGTAACTTGGGAAGTCAGATCTGGCCACAGTGGTCCACGCTCTTGTTACATCCCGAATAGATTACTGCAACGCACTCTACGTGGGGTTGCCTTTGAAGACTGTTCGGAAACTTCAATTAGTCCAGCGGGCAGCAGCCAGATTACTCACCGGAGCGTCATACAGGGAGCATACCACCCCTCTGTTATGTCAGCTCCACTGGCTGCCAATCCAGTTCCGAGCACAATTCAAAGTGCTGGTTTTGACCTACAAAACCCTATACAGTTCCGGCCCAGCATATCTGTCCAAACTCATCTCCTTCTACGTCCCGCCTCGGAGTAAAAGATCTTCTGGGGGGGGGGGGGGGGGGGGGCGGGGGGGGTGGGGGGGGGGGGGGGGGAGGGGGGTGAGGGGGGGGCGGCGGGGGGGGGGTGGGGGGGGGGGTGCCAACGGGAGGCCCACCTCTATCACAAGTGAGATTGGTGGGAACGAGGAGCAGGGCCTTCTCGGTGGTGGCCCCTCACCTGTGGAATTCACTTCCCGGGGATATTAGGTCATCGACATCCCTCCTCTCTTTTAGAAGGAAACTAAAAACATGGATATGGGACCAGGCCTTTGGGTAATCTGGCAGATAGACAAAGGAGAATGACGACTAGAATTGATAGGATTTGACAATGAAGAATGAATTTACGGATTCTGAGCTGGCAAACGTTGAGCATTAGATTGGTTTTATTGATTGTGATGTATAATTGATTGTTTTAATTGTTTTATAATTGCTGTTTATATATGTTTTATCTTATTGTTTGTGTTGGCATCAAATTGTGCCTTTTGTAAGCCGCCCTGAGTCCCCCCTCGGGGGTTGAGAAGGACGGGGTAGAAATGCCCGAAATAAAATAAATAATAATAAATAGGCACAAACTGTTGGATATTCCACAGATATATAAACCTCACTTGCCTAGTTTCCAACACACCTCACAACCTCTGAGGATGCCTGCCAGAGATGTGGGCGAAACGTCAGGAGAGAATGCTTCTGGAACATGGCCAGACAGTCCGGAAAACCCGCAGCAACCCAACCGTCAGCTTGGACAGTGGTCAGTTACAGCTCAAAATGTAACTTTTCCAAAGTCAAATAGAACTAGACCAGAGCACACCTTCATGCACTGGGAATTACACTGAGTTTCATGTATCAACATCGAAACCATGGAAGAAGTGCTCTCAACATATTTTTTCATGGCTGTGATGTGCAAGGGAAAGGAGGAAGCAGGGAGTTGGCAAACTTCAGCCTTGCAAGATCAGCTGCAACCCTTTGTGCTAGAAACCCCAAGATCTATTTTAGCCGTGGACTTACAACAAACCATACGTCGAGAAGGGAAATCCCATTACCTCCTTGTCTATGCTCTCGGTCGCCATGCACTGGTTGTTGGCTAAGGTGGTGATCTCTCGGCTTTTGGGCGTCTCCATTCGGCAGCTGCAGAGAGGCACTTCCTGAAGGCTGTCCGCTTCGACCGTTTCGGGGCCGTTGGAAAGACCTGCGGGAAAAGAAGAGAAGAAAATGGATCACTCCTCCTGCGGTCTGTTGCAAAGAACAAGTGTGACAAGAGGAAAGCCCACGTGCGACAGGTGAAGAATGGCATTCTGTCCAATGGCTGCAAAGCTATCCAGTGTCAAAACAGGTGGAGAAGGAAACCTCGACTATTCAAAGGCCTAGAAGAAAAGTATATAAACATAAGAGAGTGGGGGAGAGAGGGAGATGGATAAGGAAGGAGAATATATAAATATACTAGCGGTCCCCTGCCACACGTTGCTGTGGCCCAGTCTCGTGATCTGGAAAATAAAGTAATGAGAAAGTGTTGGTTTCTAATATATGTAATTTCTTGATGCTTGTGAGTAAACAGTATTTCTTGCTGCTTCTTTGTATGGTTTGCCTACTCTGGAACATGCAACATATAATTGTCCTTCCTTAGGGGTCCCTTTCAAATCTAGGATACTATATCTGTGTGTGTGAATCATATTTATCTATCTATATCTATGGCTGGATGGCTCTTTGTCAGGAGGGCTTTGATGACGTTTTCTTGCCCTGGGGAAGGGAGTTGGACTGGGTGGCCTTGAGTATTTTCTGTTGGTCATGGGAGTTCTGTGTGGGAAGTTTGCCCCAATTCTGTCATTGGTGGGGCATATTGACTATTCGTGCCAAGTTTGGTCCAGATCCATCATTGTTTGAGTCCACAGTGGTCTCTAGACGTAGGTGAACTACAACTCCGAAACTCAAGGTCAGTGCCCACCAAACCTTTCTAGTGTTTTCTGTTGGTCAGGGGTGTCCTGTGTACCAAGTTTGGTTCAATTCCATCATTGGTGGAGTTCAGAATGCTCTTTGATTATAGGTGAACTATAAATCCCAGCAACTGCAACTCCCAAACATCAAGGTCTATTTCCCCCAAACTCCATCTGTGTTCATATGTGGGCATGTGGAATATTCGTGCCAAGTTTGGTCCAGATCCATCATTGTTTGAGTCTACAGTGCTCTCTGGATGCAGATGAACTACGACTCCCAAATTCAAGGTCAATGCCCACCAAACCCTTCTAGTATTTTGTATTGGTCACGGGAGGCCTGTGTGCCACATTTGGTTCAATTCCATCATTGGTGGAGTTCAGAATGCTCTTTGATTGTAGGTGAACAGTAAATCCCAGCAACTACAACTCCTAAATGACAAAATCATGTTTTTTTTTAGTGATGATCACTCCTTGGGTTAGTAGGTGTCTTGTGACCAAATTTGGCGGCAATTCGTCCAGAGGTTTTTGAGTTATGTTAATCCCACAAACGAACATTACATTTTTATTTATATAGAAGAGAGAGAGAAATAGGTGGAGAAGGATTGAGAAAGAAGGAAACCTTGACCTAGAAGAAAATTATATAAACATAAGAGAGAGAGAGAGAGAGAAGAAGAAGAAGATGATGATGGATAAGGAAAGAGAAGGAATATATAAACATATGAGAGAGAGAAAGATAGGTGAAGAAGGATGGAGAAGGAAGGAAACCTTGACAACCCAAAGGTCTAAAAGAAAAGAAGCATATGAATGAGAGAAAGAAAGAGATGAATAAGGAAGGAGAAGAAAGATATAAATATAAGAGAGAGAAATAAATGGATAAAGGAGAAGAAATATATAAATATAGGGGGGAGAGACAGGTGGATAAGGAAGGAGAACCTTGACTACACAAAGGTCTAGAAGAAAAGGAAGTAGACACACATAAGAGAGAGAGATGGATACGGAAGGAGAAGGAATATGTAAATATAAGAGAGAAATAAATGGATAAAGGAGAAAAAATATATAAATATAGGGGAGAGAGACAGGTGGATAAGGAAGGTGAAGGAACATATACATGTACAACAGAGAGAAACAGGTGGAGATGGATGGAGAAGGAAACCTTGACTATGCAAAGGCCTAGAAGAAAGTATATAAACATAAGAGGGAGAGATAGAAGAAAAGGAGGTAGACAAACATGAGAGAGATAGATGGATAAGGAAGGAAAAGGAATATATAAATATAAGAGAGAAAGAAACAGGTGGTGAAGGATGGAGAAAGATAGAGAAGGAAAGAAACCTTGACTACACAAAGGTCTAGAAGAAAAGGAAGCAGACAAACATGAGAGAGAGAGAGAGATGGATAAGGAAGGAGAAGGAATATGTAAATATAAGAGAGAGAAACAAATGGATAAAGAAGAAATATATAAATATAGGGAAGAGAGAAACAGGTGGATAAAGAAGGAGAAGGAACATATACATGTACAAGAGAGAGAAACAGGTGGAGAAGAATGCAGGAAATGTTGACTATTCAAAGGCCTAGAAGAAAAGAAGGATATAAACACGAGAGAGGAAAATGGATAAGGAAGCAAAAGGAATATATATATATATATAAATATGAGAGAAACAGGTGGAGAAGGATGGAGAAGGAAGGAAACCTTGACTACCCAGAGGTCCAGAAAAAAGCATACAAGCATGTGTGTGTGTGTGTGTGTGTGAGAGAGAGAGAGAGAGAGAGAGAGAAGGAAGGAGCAGAAATATATAAATATAGGGGGGAGAGAAACAGGTGGAGAAGAATGCAGGAAACCTTGACTATTCAAAGAAGAAAAGAAGTATATAAACATGAGAGAGGGAAATGGATAAGGAAGCAAAAGGAATATATAAATGTAAGAGAGAGAGAAACAGGTGGAGAAGGATGGAGAAACATAGAGAAGGTAGGAAAAGGAATATATAAATATTAGAGAGAGAGGGAAACAGGTGGAGAAGGAAGGAAACCTTGACTACCCAGAGGTCCAGAAGGGAAAAGCATACAAACATGAGAGAAAGAGAGAGAGAGAGAGAGAGAGAGAGAGAGAGAGAGGAGAAGAAGAAGAAAGGAGAAGAAATATATAAATGTAAGAGAGAGAAACAGGTGGAGAAGGAAGGAGAAGGAATATATACATGCACAAAAGAGAGAGAGAGAAACAGGTGGAGAAGGATGGAGAAGGAAGAAAACCTTGACTACCCAGAGGCCCAGGAAAAAAGCATACAAACATGAGAGAGAGAGAGAAGGAAGGAGAAGAAATATATAAATATAGGGGGGAGAGAAACAGGTGGATAAGGAAGGAGAAGGAACATATACATGTACAAGAGAGAGAAACAGGTGGAGAAGAATGCAGGAAACCTTGACTATTCAAAGGCCTAGAAGAAAAGAAGGATATAAAAGATAAGAGAGAAAGAGATGGATAAGGAAGGAAAAGGAATATATAAATATAAGAGAGGGAGAGAAACAGGTAGGGAAGGTTGGAGAAGGAAGGAAACCTTTACTACCCAGAGGTCTAGAAGAAAAGAAGTATACAAACATGAGAGAGAGAGAGAGAGAGAGAGAAAGAGAGAGAGAAGGAAGGAGAAGAAATGTATAAATGTAAGAGAGAGAAACAGGTGGAGAAGGAAGGAGAAGGAACATATACATGCACAAAAGAGAGAGAGAGAAACAGGTGGAGAAGGATGGAGAAGGAAGAAAACCTTGACTACCCAGAGGCCCAGGAAAAAAGCATACCAGACATGAGAGAGAGAGAGAGAGAGAGAGAGAGAAAGAGAAGGAAGAAGAAGAAGAAGAAGAAGAAATATATAAAAACAGGGGAGAGAGAAACAGGTGAAGGATGGAGAAGGAAACCTTGACTATTCAAAGGCCTAGAAGAAAAGAAGTATATAAAACATAAGAGAGAAAGAGATGGATAAGGAAGCAAAAGGAATATATAAATATAAGAGATAGTGAAACAGGTGGGGAAGGATGAAGAAGGAAGGAAACTTTGACCACCCAAAGGTCTAGAAGAAAAGAAGTATATAAAATATTGTATTTATATCTTACATAGAAAGAAGGAAGAAGGAAGGAAGGAAGGAAGGAAGGAAGGAAGGAAGGAAGGAAGGAAGGAAGGAAGGAAAAGAAATTGAATCTAGAGAGAGAAACAGGTGAATAAGGAAGGAGAAGGAACATATACATGCACAAGAGAGAAAGAGAGAGAAACAGGTGGAGAAGGGTGGAGAAAGAAACCTTGACTATTCAAAGGCCTAGAAGAAAAATATAGAAACATAAGGGAGAGATTCACGGTGTGGTGAATGAATTAGAACCAGACATCCTGAGGAGTGAGGTTGAATGGGCCTTAAGAAGCATTGCTAACAACAAGGCAGCAGGAGACGACGGGATCCCAGCTGAACTGTGTAAAATCTTAAAAGATGATGCTGTCAAGGTGATGCATGCCATTTGCCAGCAAATATGGAAAACACAAGAATGGCCAACAGACTGGAAAAAATCAACTTATATCCCCATACCAAAAAAGGGAAATGCGAAAGACTGCTCAAACTTCCGTACAGTGGCCCTTATTTCTCATGCCAGTAAGGTAGTGCTCAAGATCCTGCAAGGAAGACTCCAGCAATACATGGAGCGAGAGTTGCCAGATGTTCAAGCTGGGTTTAGAAAAGGTAGAGGAACGAGAGACCAAATTGCCAATATCCGCTGTATAATGGAGAAAGGCAGGGAGTTTCAGAAAAACATCTACTTCTGCTTCATTGACTATTCTAAAGCCTTTGACTGTGTGGATCATAATAAATTGTGGCAAGTTCTTAGTGGTATGGGCATCCAAGCCACCTTGTCTGTCTCCTGAGGAATCTGTATAAGGACCAAGTAGCAACAGTCAGAACTGACCACGGAACAACAGACTGGTTCAAGATTGGGAAAGGCGTACGGCAAGGCTGCATCCTCTCACCCAACCTTTTTAACTTGTATGCAGAACACATCATGCGATGTGCGGGGCTGGATGAATGCAAGCTGGGGTGAAAATTGCTGGAAGAAACATTAACAACCTCAGATATGCAGATGACACCACCCTGATGGCCGAACGCGAGGAGGAGCTGAGGAGCCTTCTAATCAAGGTGAAAGAAGAAAGCGCAAAAGCCGGGTTGCAGCTAAACGTCAAAAAAACCAAGATTATGGCAACAAGAATGATTGACAACTGGAATATAAGGAGAAACCGTGGAGGCCGTGACAGACTTTGTATTTCTAAGGGCAAAGATTACTGCAGATGCAGACTGTAGCCAGGAAATCAGAAGACGCTTACTTCTTGGGAGGAGAGCAATGTCCAGTCTCGATAAAATAGTGAAGAGTAGAGACATCAGACTGACAACAAAGATCCGCCTAGTCAAAGCCATGGTATTCCCTGTAGTCACCTACGGATGTGAGAGCTGGACCTTAGGGAAGGCTGAGCGAAGGAAGATCGATGCTTTTGAACTGTGGTGTTGGAGGAAAGTGCTGAGAGTGCCTTGGACTGCGAGAAGATCCAACCAGTCCATCCTCCAGGAAATAAAGCCCTGACTGCTCATTGGAGGGAAGAATAGTAGAGGCCAAGATGAAGTACTTTGGCCACATCATGAGAAGAAAGGAAAGCTTAGAGAAGACATTGATGCTGGGGAAAATGGAAGGAAAAAGGAAGAGGGGCCGACCAAGGGCAAGATGGATGGATGGCATCCTTGAAGTGACTGGACTGACCTTGAAGGAGCTGGGGGTGGTGACGGCCGACAGGGAGCTCTGGCGTGGGCTGGTCCATGAGGTCACAAAGAGTCTGAGACGACTGAACGAATAAACAACAACATTGCCTACTCCTGATATAGAATCCTAGAGCTGGAAGAGACCCCCGAGGGTCATCCAGTCCAATCCCCTGCCATGCAGGAAGGCACAATCAAAGCACTCCTGATAGATAGCCTCTGCGGAAAAACCTCCATAGAAGGAGACTCCACCACACTCCCAGGCAGCCTACGCTTAATTCTACAATGTAAATGCACTCCTAGAGAAGATGATAGAGAAGAATTTCAGAGGTGATATGAGATAAAGAGAGATTGAGCAGCTGAGATGAAAGGGTAAATTGAATCAGATTCAAAGATGCTTTGAATATAAAGTAATGGGATTAATAAAATTGTAGATCATTTTCTAAGTAATATAATTAAGGTTTAGGTTTGTTGTCTTTATAAGTACAAGTACATAGTGTAGGGTTAGCTCTGCTGGGGCTGGGGGGGTTTACGGCTGATAGGGTTAGCTCTGATGTGGGCTGGTCCATGAGGTCATGAAGAGTCGGAAGCGAATAAACAACAAGAGATAGAGAAAAACAGGTGGAGATGGGTGGAAAAGAATAGAAGCCTTGGCCACCCAAAGGTCCAGAAGAAATGTGCAGCAACTGGAAGTGTTCCAACTCTGAGCCAACAGGAAACTGAAAGTCACCTGGAAAGGTCAAGAGCTTGAACACTGTTTCCATCCTAAATATCTCTAGGTGTCACTTGATATTGAACACTAGCATGTAGGAAACACTGCTTGAACACCAAGCACAAAGTAACTGCATGCAATAACATCCTGCGGAAACTTACTGGCAGCACATGGGGTGCAGACCCAAAATTAGTAAGAACATCAGCCCTGGCCTTGTCTTACTCAACTGCTGAGTATGCCTGCCCTGCTTGGCATAGGTCTGCCCATTGAATAGCATTGAATGAAACATGCAGAATAATCACAGGATGTCTTAAACCTACACCTGTTGATAAACTCTACAAGCTAGCTGGCATTGACCCCCCCCCCCCACCCCCCTGATGTGTGATGGGAAGTTGCTGCTAAATGTGATAGAAATTAGGTTGAACACTGTGAAAGCCATCCACTACATGGCTACCAGCCTCCTCCCAGTAGACTCAAATCAAGGAAAGGCTTTATACCCCAGCTTTATATCCCAGTAGACTCAAATCAAGGAAAACCGTTATAGTCCAGCAACAGCAAGAGTATCCCTCTGGGCAGCTAAACCAGGAAACCCCAACTAGAAGGCCCCCCACGAGGGAGGGTCTTCCTCCTGGGCAAACCAAGAATGGGCAACTTGGAAGTCCCTGAACAGACTCAGAATGGAGTGGCCAGATCAAAAGACAACCTGGCAAAATGGCGCAGTGGGTTAAAGCACTGAGCTGCTCGTTGATTGAAAGGTTGCAGGTTCGAATCCGGGGAGCGGCGTAAGCTTCCGCTGTCAGCCCCAGCTCCTGCCAACCTAGCAGTTCGAAAACATGCAAATTATTTATTTATTATTATTTATTTACTGCATTTCTATACCGCTTTTCTCATCCCTAGGGGGACTCAAAGCAGTGTTGTGAGTAGATCAATAGGTACCGCTTCGGTGGGAAGGTAACGGCGCTCCATGCAGTCATGCTGGCCACATTACCTTGGAGGTGTCTATTATTATTATTATTATTATTATTATTAAACTTTATTTGTACCCCGCTAGCATCTCCCAAAGGATTCGATGCGGCTTACAAAGGCCAAGGCCTCAACACACAATAGCATAACAATACAATTCAAAGCAAATCAAAAACATTAAAGCAATAACAGTAAAAACAACAAAACAATACAGCATAACACAATAAAAACAGGGCCGGGCCAAGTAATGGGTACAGATTAAAAAGTGCTGGATGTGACAGGTGGTCTATCGGATTTCAAGGAAGTGCAGTGTGCAGAGAATCTTAAAGTGCTTCTGGGACTCTAATAAAGTGCTTACTGGAGTATTCCTATTCTGGAAAGGCACATCAGAACAGCCAGGTCTTCAAATTCTTCCTAAAGACTGCCAGTGTGGGGGCCTGTCTAATGTCTTTGGGGAGGGTGTTCCAAAGTCGGGGGGCCACCACAGAGAAGGCCCTGTCCCTCGTCCCCACCAAACGCGCCTGCGATGCAGGTGGGATCGCGAGCAGGGCCTCTCCAGATGAACAAAGAGAGCGTGTGCGTTCATAAACGGAGATGCGGTCACGCAGGTAGGCAGGTCCCAAACCATTTAGGGCTTTGTAAGTAAGCACCTGCACCTTGAATTGGGCTCGGAAAATAAACGGCAGCCAGTGGAGCTCCTTGAACAGGAGGGTTGACCTCTCTCTGTAAGGAGCCCCAGTTAACATCCTGGCCGCTGCCCGTTGGACTAGTTGGAACTTCCGAGCCGTTTTCAAGGGCAGCCCCATGTAGAGCACATTACAGTAGTCCAGTCTAGAGGTGACCAAGGCATGGACCATCCCGTTTTGCGTCAAAAGATATTTAGCCGCCTGCACTCCTTCTATTTTTATCAGTTTTCTACTAATTTATGCAATGCTTTTGATACGAAATAAATAAAACTCTTGAGTATTCAACAAAAGTGACGACAGGAGATGTTTTCCTCCTCTGGTCGCCTCTCCGGCCTCCAGGCCAGAGATGGCCAGGCTTTCCGGTCTGCTGACCTCTCCCTTCGACCGGGTTGGGCCTCCTCCTCCGCCTCTCGCCTCTCCGCGAGGCCTGGCCTCTTCTCCTTCTCTTCTTCGCCGATTAGCAGCCACCAGGGGGCATCCTCTTAATACGGAGAAAGAACGGATCCAAGGAAACAAAGAACCAAAATGGTACATGGCCATATTTAGAAAGCTGACACTCACCTTCTGATTGCGGAGATAGAATCCCCTTCACTCGGAGATCCAAGGAATCCAGGGAGACTTCCATGTACTCCATGTTGCTCTCCGGCTGGGCGCCGTCTCCACTCCCCAAAGGCGGCTTATAGGCTTCAGCACCTGGGTGGGAAATATAGGCACATCATATTTATAGAGCCAGAGGGAAAGAACTATGCAATGTATGTGTACGTGTTTCTCCCTCTCCCTCTCTCCCTGTCTCTATAAGGCCACATTCATCTCAGCAGACAATATGCAGGCTACCACGCATAAATCGAGATGCAGAGAGGAGCACAATGCAAAGCACGGCTAGGCCAAAGGGTCTGTTGAGCCCTATTTCAACCTTCGGGCAGGGTGAAAAGAGCTGTGAAAAAGGTGATCACCAGGAACACAATGGGGAGAAGTCCTCCCTTCCAGACACATCTGTCTGCTGCTACGGCACTGCATTAAGACTTAGAGATGGTGCATGACAAGCTCTCCTCCTCACCCAAACTTGAGATCTTTAAGCAAAAGCTCAAAGAGCCCAATAAGGTAGAAGGAGATGAGGAGGGCAGGAGACATCTGCCTCAACGCAGGAGAGGAAGGGGAAGTGCCAATCGCAACCCTTCGCCGAGCAAGGCGGTGTCTGCTAATGAAAACTAATGCATGAATCTCTAACAGGGATTAGTTCATGCGTCTCGGCTGTTTGCATGGCACCACTACCACCAAGGCACACAAGCTCCATTCATTCCCCGCCATCAAGACTCCCCATTTTTCTCCCTCCCGTGCAGCCAAGGAGTAAACTAACTCTATAGAAAGCAGTAGCCCTTATTTCTCTACAGTGGCCCTTATTTCTCATGCCAGTAAGGTAATGCTCAAGATCCTGCAAGGAAGACTCCAGCAAGACATGGAGCGAGAGTTGCCAGATGGACAAGCTGGGTTTAGAAAAGGCAGAGGAACCAGAGACCCAATTGCCAATATCCGGATGCTGGATAATGGAGAAAGGCAGGGAGTTTCAGAAAAACATCTATTTCTGTTTCATTGACTGATCTAAAGCCTTTGACTGTGTGGATCATAATAAATTGTGGCAAGTTCTTGGTGGGATGGGCATACCAAATCACCTTGTCTCTCTCCTGAGGAATCTGTATAAGGATCAAGTAGCAACAGTCAGAACTGGCCATGGAACAACAGACTGGTTCAAGATTGGGAAAGGCATATGGCAGAGTTGTATCCTCTCACCCAACCTATTCAACTTGTATGCAGAACACATCATGCGATGTGCGGGGCTTGACGAATGCAAGGCTGGGGTAAAAATTGCTGGAAGAAACATTAACAACCTTAGATATGCAGATGATCACCACTCTGATGGCCGAAAGCGAGGAGGAGCTGAGGAGCCTTCTAATCAAGGTGAAAGAAGAAAGCGCAAAAGCTGGGTTGCACTTGTTGTTCATTCATTCAGTCGTCTCCGACTCTTCGTGACCTCATGGACCAGCCCACGCCAGAGCTCCCTGTCGGCCGTCACCACCCCCAGCTCCTTCAAGGTCAGTCCAGTCACTTCAAGGATGCCATCCATCCATCCTGCCCTTGGTCGGCCCCTCTTCCTTTTGCCTTCCACTTTCCCCAGCATAATTGTCTTCTCTAGGCTTTCTGTCTCCTCATGATGTGGCCAAAGTACTTCAACTTTGTCTCTAGTCTTCCCTCCAATGAGCAGCCAGGCTTTATTTCCTGGAGGATGGACTGGTTGGATCTTCTCGCAGTCCAAGGCACTCTCAGAACTTTCCTCCAACACCACAGTTCAAAAGCATCTCTCTTCCTTCGCTCAGCCTTCCCTAAGGTCCAGCTCTCACATCCGTAGGTTACTACAGGGAATACTATGGCTTTGACTAGGCGGATCTTTGTTGCCAGTCTGATGTCTCTACTCTTTACTATTTTATCGAGACTGGACATTGCTCTCCTCCCAAGAAGTAAGCGTCTCCTGATTTCCTGGCCACAGTCTGCATCTGCAGTAATCTTTGCCTAGAAATACAAAGTCTGTCACGGCCTCCACATTTTCTCCCTCTATTTTCCAGTTGTCAATCATACTTGTTGCCATAATCTCATAGTCAAAGCCATGGTATTCCCTGTAGTAGCCTACGGATGTGAGAGCTGGACCTTAGGGAAGGCTGAGCGAAGGAAGAGAGATGCTTTTGAACTGTGGTGTTGGAGGAAAGTTCTGAGAGTGCCTTGGACTGCGAGAAGGAAGCTTGCTCCTTCCTCCTTGTGGCTTCCTCTTACATATTTATACATGGCTATCATGTCTCCTCTCAGCCTTCTCTTCTTCAGGCTAAACATTGGATTTTTCTCCAAGGCTGAGAGGAGACATGGTGAGGTCCATGAATAAATATGTGAGGGGAAGTCATGGGGAGGAAGGAGAAAGCTTTTTTGCCCTGGAGAGTAGGACGCAATGGAACAATTGCTTCAAATGACAGGAGAGGAAATTCCACCTGAATATGAGGAATAACTTCCTAATATTGAGTGCTGTTCAGCATTGGAACTCTCTGCCCTGGAGTGTGGTAGAGGCTCCTTCTTTGGAGGCTTTGAAACAGAGATTGGATGGCCATCTGCTGGGGGTGCTTTGAATGTGTTCTGCTTCTTGGCAGAATAGGGTTGGAGTAGATGGCTCACAAGGGTTCTTCCAACTCTATGAGTCTATGATTCAATCATCCCAGAACCCTTACAAAGCCAGCTGAGGTCAATGGAAACTAGAATCCAACAAGAGTGGGAAGAAACCACTATACCTTGAGGTTTCGACTGAATAAAAACAAAAGTAGGAAAATGTATTGTCGAAGGCTTTCATGGCCGGAATCACTGGGTTGTTGTAGGTTTTTCCGGGCTATATGGCCATGTTCTGGAGGCAATTTTTCTCCTGACGTTTCGCCTGCATCTATGGCAAGCATCCTCACTACCTCTGAGGATGCTTGCCATAGATGCAGGCGAAACGTCAGGAGAAAAATTGCCTCCAGAACATGGCCATCTAGCCCGGAAAAACCTACAACAACCCAAAAGTAGGAAAGTAGGAATCCCTTACCTAAGGCGCCACCTTTTTTCTTCCTACTTCTCCGCCGCCTTTTCCGGGTGGGTTTCAGCCAAGGGCTCTCCGGCTTCCCTTTCCGCTTCATCATCTTCTTCTTGAGACTGGATTCCGAACTCTGCAAAACCACAGGAAACAGGGGACTGGATCCTCGGTCACACCAACTTTTGGAGGACCAGCCACTCTGTGAAATCCCACACAACCTGATTCTCCTCCGAATACGCCACTGGTCCTCCAAGTGTTTTGGACTTCAGTTCCCGTAACACTATGTAACAAAACTTGAAAAATATTCTGTTCCTGATTGGTAAGTGTTGTTTCCTGTTTAATTGTGCGGTACGTACTTTGAAAGTACTTGTTCTACTCCAGAAACTTTGTTTTCGCAGCTGCCACAAACTAAGTTGAATTGGTTGAGACTCAATGATGAGATATCCATTGAAAAACTAGATCAAAATATGCTCCCACAGAAACAAAGTTTTGGAAGTTTAATAAACTTTCCCCATATTTTTATGATAGAACCAATTAGGAAATGACATTGATAACCCAGGAACAAAAAAACAAAGACAAAACAGTGTTATGTTACATAGTGTAATTCCTAACTTTTGGCCAAGCTAGCTTTGTTTCTGGGAATTGAAATCCAAAATCTTTGGAGACCCAAAGGTTGGGATCCACTGGCAACCATGGCTGAGTATAAAAATAAATAATATCTGTCACTTCTCCTTCTGTCAGTCACCAAATCCAAAATACAGTAGACTCTCAGTTTATTGTTGTTATTGTTGTTGTTTGTACCCTGCTTTTCCTCTCTAAGGATCCTTCCAGACAGGCCCTATATCCCAGGATCCAATCCCAGGTTTTCCATTGGAAATAGCAAGCTTTTCAAGCTTCCACTAGTTATTTGTTATGTATATAATTCAGATTGTTTACTGCATTGTATATGTGTGTATTACTTTGCAATTTTCCTTAACTACATTGTGGGAGGGGTTACAGACCACGTGATCAGGTCTGGGATTGTTCAGGACTCAGACTCCGTTTTAGAAAGTATGCTTTAGACTTCAGTAGGAACAATATGTTTGTTGTTGTTGTTGTTGTTGTTGTTGTTTGTATCCTGCTTTTCCTCTCTAGGGGCCCTTTCAGACAGGCCCTATATCCCAGGATCCAATCCCAGGTTTTCTGTTGGAAATAGCAAGCTTTTCAAGCCTCCACTAGTTATTTGTTATGTATATAATTCAGATTGTTTACTGCATTGTATATGTGTGTATTGTTTGCGGTTTTCCTTAACTCTATGTTGTGGGAGGGGCTGCAGGGCATGTGATCAGATCTGGGATTATTCAGGACTCAGACTCCATTTTAGAAAGTATGCTTTAGACTTCAGTAGGAACAATATGCTTGTTGTTGTTGTTGTTTGTATCTTGCTTTTCCTCTCTAGAGGCCCTTCCAGATAGGCCCTATATCCCCGGATCCAATCCCAGGTTTTCCATTGGAAATAGCAAGCTTTTCAAGCCTCCACTAGTTATTTGTTATGCATATAATTCAGATTGTTTACTGCATTGTATATGTGTGTATTGTTTGCGGTTTTCCTTAACTCTATGTTGTGGGAGGGGTTGCAGGGCATGTGATCAGGTCTGGGATTGTTCAGGACTCAGACTCCGTTTTAGAAACTATGCTTTAGACTTCAGTAGGAACAATAGGCTTAGAGACTCCATTGGACTTTCAGACTAGACAGAGACTCTATTGGACTCTCAGAACAACCAGGAGAACACCTGGCAATACGGAGTTACATCTGCAGATTACGGCAGATAGTCAGCTCCGTAGATCAACAAGACTCCATGGGAAACAGATAGCGAAAGTCCATGGAAGGCTCCATGACTTCATGTCTGTTTATTAATAGCCAATGTGCACTCTAACTTCAGTACAGGCAACGTAGCGTTCAAATGAGAAGCTAGGCCTGAGTTCTCTGGTTCTTGTTTCACTTCAAGCCATGGTTTTGGATTTAAGTATCCTGGAAGTTTTCCTCGTTCTTGTTTTTGTATTCCTGTTCTAGTTTTACTAAATACATCTTTTCCTTGTGGATTTATGTTGTATTTGTGATTTTTGGCTCTCTTTGGACTATGTTACCTTTGGATCTTAATAGCCAATGTGCACTCTAACTTCAGTTCAGGCAACGTAGTGTTCAAATGAGAAGCTAGGCCTGAGTTCTCTGGTTCTTGTTTCACTTCAAGCCTTGGTTTTGGATTTAAGTATCCTAGAAGTTTTCCTCGTTCTTGTTTTTGTATTCCTGTTCTAGCTTTACTAAATACATCTTTTCCTTGTGGATTTATGTTGTATTTGTGATTTTTGGCTCTCTTTGGACTATGTTACCTTTGGATCTTAATAGCCAATGTGCACTCTAACTTCAGTTCAGGCAACGTAGCGTTCAAATGAGAAGCTAGGCCTGAGTTCTCTGGTTCTTGTTTCACTTCAAGCCTTGGTTTTGGATTTAAGTATCCTGGAAGTTTTCCTCGTTCTTGTTTTTGTATTCCTGTTCTAGTTTTACTAAATACATCTTTTCCTTGTGGATTTATGTTGTATTTGTGATTTTTGGCTCTCTTTGGACTATGTTACCTTTGGATCTTAATAGCCAATGTGCACTCTAACTTCAGTTCAGGCAACGTAGCGTTCAAATGAGAAGCTAGGCCTGAGTTCTCTGGTTCTTGTTTCACTTCAAGCCATGGTTTTGGATTTAAGTATCCTGGAAGTTTTCCTCGTTCTTGTTTTTGTATTCCTGTTCTAGTTTTACTAAATACATCTTTTCCTTGTGGATTTATGTTGTATTTGTGATTTTTGGCTCTCTTTGGACTATGTTACCTTTGGATCTTAATAGCCAATGTGCACTCTAACTTCAGTTCAGGCAACGTAGCGTTCAAATGAGAAGCTAGGCCTGAGTTCTCTGGTTCTTGTTTCACTTCAAGCCATGGTTTTGGATTTAAGTATCCTGGAAGTTTTCCTCGTTCTTGTTTTTGTATTCCTGTTCTAGTTTTACTAAATACATCTTTTCCTTGTGGATTTATGTTGTATTTGTGATTTTTGGCTCTCTTTGGACTATGTCTATAAGAGACATTTGGATAGTTGTTTGATTATCACCTATTGTCAGACTTCATTGGATTATACATCATCTTTCCTTATTCCTGACTTTTTTATATCCTTTTTATGTGTTTCTACAAAAAAAACTGTTTGTTTATATGTATTGTCGAAGGCTTTCATGGCCGGAATCGCTGGGTTGTTGTAGTTTTTTCGGGCTATATAGCCATGGTCTAGATGCATTCTCTCCTGACGTTTCGCCTGCATCTATGGCAAGCATCCTTGCCATAGATGAAGGCGAAACGTCAGGAGAGAATACCTCTAGACCATGGCCATATAGCCCGAAAAAACTACAACAACCCAGTGTTTGCTTATACTCTGGACTCTTGTGTGGTGAGGTGGTCATAGGTGGCTCCAGGCCTGGGATGCAACAAACTCAATGATTAAAATACAGTCATCAAAAGCAAATAGAAAATTTCTACTAAATCTTTAATTTATATTTAAAATATTATTTCTTTGATTTTTTAAAAATTTCCGGTTAACTGAGAGTCTACTGTACTATGTCAAGAGAAGCCTAACTGGATAGACATTAAAGGGTGCAAGGAATTCAACCTGATCCCTCTTACTGAGCATGTTATTACGAACAGACAGTATTACCATGCTAGTCAATGCAACCATTTCGTATGACAATATTTCCTTATCGGATGCTTCTGTATTTAGCACATTTAGCACATTTCCCACCCACTCCTCAAATAAAAATCATTAATTTTACACACACAAAAAGCAAGCGGCAACACAGACACGAAATAAAAGGCAGACGTGACAATTCATGGGTTAAAAGGGCCAAACTGTGGACAGTCGAGGAGCAAGAAGCCACGGAGAAGGCCGACAGGGCAAAAAGCGAAGTACTGCAAAGATTTTTGTGATGGCACCACAAAAAATTTCACCCCATAAAAGATATATTTAGGCTTTAATTGGACTTGTGGTGAACACATATCCTAATGCTGTATCATGTAAATCAGTGTTTCTCAACCTGGGGATCCTTCTGTGGGGATCGCGAGAAGGTGTCAGAGGGGTCGCCAAAGATCATCAGAAAACACAGTATTTTCTGTTGGTCATGGGAGTTCTGTGTGGGAAGTTTGGCCCAATTCTATGGTTGGTGGGGTTCAGAATGCTCTTTGATTGTAGGTGAACTATAAATCTCAGCAACTACAACTCCCAAATGTCAAGTTTATTTTCCCCAAACTCCACCAGTGTTCACATTTGGGCATATTGAGTGTTCGAGCCAAGTTTGGTCCAGACCCATCATTGATTGAGTCCACAGTGCTCTCTGGAGATAGGTGAACTACAACTCCCAAGCTCAAGGGAGACCTTTCCAGTATTTTCTGTTGGTCATGGGATTTCTGTGTGCCAAGTTTGGTTCAATTCCATTGCTGGTGAAGTTCAGAATTCTCTTTGATTGTAGGTTAACTATAAATCCCAGCAACTACAACTCCCAAATGACTAAATCAACCCACCCCAACCCCATATGGGGTATTTGGGCATATGGGGTATTTTTGCCAAATTTGGTCCAGTGAATAAAAATGCATCAAGCATATCAGATATTTACATTACGAGTCATAACTGTAGCAAAATTACAGTTATGAAGTAGCAACGAAAATGATGTTATGGTTGGGGGTCACCACAACACGAGGAACTGTATTAAGGGGTTGCGGCATTAGGAAGGTTGAGAAACACTGTACTAGGTGGATCGGGTACCCAAGAATGGTTCTGATGTACCACAATGCCTCTCGTATGTGAGAATGAGCCACAGTTGCCAGAAAGGATACCATTAAGCAGAGGCTGGATTCTTTGGAAGCTTTTAAGCAGAGGCTGGATGGCCATTTGTCAGGGGTGATTTGAATGCAATATTCCTGCTTCTTGGCAGGGGGTTGGACTGGATGGCCCATGAGGTCTCTTCCAACTCTTTGATTCTATGATTCTATGATTCTATCTCTGTTCAGATCATGCACATCTTTTGGTTCTGATGAGAAACCTGTTGTAGATCAGCCATCAGAGGCTGAT